GTGAATCGAAACGTACGCGTTGACCGAACGGAAGCCAGTCAACCGGAAGCCCTAGCAGCTGTGGATCAATAACACCGCAGCAGTGAACATGTGCACTAAACACACAAAGCCAACGATTATTGACAAACACACAACGTGCACTCTTCCGCCAGAATGTTTACAGAAGTGTGGTCACCACTGTGTATAGAAAGTAGCCTTGCGGAGTCGTCGTCGTTGCTGTCTAACGAGGTACGTCATCAGGACCCGACGAGAAATGCAGTCAGATACTTGTGTATGCAAAGCTAATGTTTGGCATGCTAATTAGCAATAGAGTCAACTCCTTTCTGGTGGGCAAGCCAGCTACGGACGTGCTTCGAGGTAAACTAGTCTGCTCATTTCGACAAACTGGGGGAAAAGATGAAGCAAATTGTAGGGTCTTTAAGGTGAAAAATACAGCTTTCAATAAAGCATAGAAGATAGTGGAAGGCAAATAGTGTGATGAACAGGCAATAAATCGGCACCGGATTGACATTGTTCTAGGTCAGGATGGGGACTCCATGACTCATCCCATTCATTAGGAGGGGTTTGGCAGATTCGAATAATTCAATTGACCCAATTGGGAAAAATTTGCAGCCTCGGTGGGACTCGAACCCACATCAGCAGGGAAGGCTTTAGTACAGCCAACGCTCTACCAACTGACCTAAGAAGGCACTCCGAGAGCCGTGCATTTAATCAGACTTCGGTCGATTTACCCGCCCAGCCTACTGCACATATGGAATCCACCAATGTGGATACAGTAAGCTGACTGCCCAGGTAGGATTTCCTAAATGATCACCTAGAATAAACTAGAATGACTACCAGTTACACGTAATTATTAGGAAGGTTTGGCATATTTAATTCCATTGACCCAACTGTGAAAAACTCGTGGCCTCGGTGGGATTCGAACTCACATTAGCAGGGCAGACTTTAGTACAGTCAACGCTCTACCAAGTTAGCTGCGAAAGGACACCGAGGGCCGTGAATTTAATCACACATGGATTGGCTGTACTAAGGCCTTCCCTTCACCACACAGAGCCCTCATACGGCTTTCGGCAGTGAGCCGAATTGCCCAAATAGTTATACATGGGGAGCGGTCGAACCCTTGGAAATGATGCCACTACAGCATGGGTATTCGGCCTGTTCAGCATGACAACTCAGGACTCGTGCTAAATTGGGCTTTCTTAGCTAAACATACTAAGCCCACGCAATAACTCAGGGACTGTCAAACCACTGGGCCATTCTGCGTCTGATGGATTGATTTACCTTAACTTCGCCTTACGATATACTTCAGCTTTTAAGTAGTCTTTCAAACATTCATAACAGTTTCATAGCTCCTTCTTAGGAAAAAAAATACAGTACCGCAGAAGTATCCTTGTCGGTAAATATTTCACCTCTTGGTGAAAATGCGACATGTAGCAGGGTACAACGGTTTACGTTCTCTAGACTAAGGCGCCTAGATTAGCAACCGTAGATGTTCCAGTCAATAGGATTCGCAATGTACAATCGCTTCCAGGAATCCCTGCCTTCAAACAAATACCCCGTCTCA